CATCCTCGCCTGTATAAAGTACGTAATAGATAATATTGAGGAGTTTCCTTCCAGGGCTGCAAAACATCACCACCTTACTAGGCATCACAACCAACTAGATGTTCCTAGAGTTAGACTATCAAGGACTCAGAAGGCCTTTAGTAATGGAGCCCTAACAATATATAATAAATTGCCAAACTCCATCGTACTTCTCGAAAGGGAACTCCTTAAGGTACTCACTACGTACTTTAAAGGAAAAGCCTACTACTCGCTGAAGGAGTATTTTGATGACCCTCTGTTAGGCCTAGACTGATTTGGCCAAATCTAAATTTGTCAAAGTTTTATCAAAATATATCTATAAAGAAGTAAACTACAACATTTTACAATATTCTCCATAAGAATAACATAGGAATTTTAAATTTACATTTTTTAGGTCTTTTTTCTGGTTATAATGAAATAATGAAATGAAATAATGAAATAATGAGTTTATTCCTTCAAAACAAATAAATACAAAATAATAAATTCACTTGGAACTACGTTGCCACATTTTCCAGTAATCGTGGCAAACGTAAAACAAAAAATTAAACAACTATATTTACAACTTAGTGAGTCCAGTCTCTTCACTTGAAAAATACAAGTTGCCGCTCTCTGTGGCGTCTTAAGTATAGCAATATAAAAATAGAGCTTAAAAAATTAAATCCTAAAGTTTACAGAAATACTGTTATAACTAAAAATTTATTACCTTTTCGTGAAATGGAAAACAAATTGGAAATTACAAAAATAGCGAAACTTAACGGATTTATTTGAAGAAAAAAAGAAAAAAAAATCCTTTGAGTGGTTGATGTAAATTGTCATATTAGTATATTATTAAGAAAATATACGTCCGGATGACTAAAAAGCCAATGTTTTAATTTTGAAGAAAATTTATCTAAGGTCAAACAAAATCTGATATCTTCCGGCAGTTGGTTGAAGTATCTGGGACCATTATACTGATAAGAGTGTCTGAACAATGACTTGTTTACTTTAGGTAAACGGAAAATGCCTTGATTGTTTTGTCTAGTATTATACAAAAGATTGCTTGTCCCAGTATTTCCACTGCGTACATAGAAGAGTTTTAGAACCTTAAAAATATATAAGTGCTGAACTGGGAGTATTATTAATTGAGAAAATAACGGGAAAGAGCTTTCACGCTTATTACTTTTAGTTATTATCCTTAAAAAATGATTTTGTGTAAACCTTAATTTTTCAATATAACTTTTAAAAGTTCCGCCCCAGCATTGAATTGCATACTGGAGTCTTGATTGGACAAGAGCAAAATAAAGAGTTCGAAGTAAGAAGGTATTACAAATGTTTTTTATAAAATAGAAAACTCTTATAGTTTGTTTAATTGTTGTATGTAGTGTGGAAATATGTCTGTCCCAGTTTAGATTTTCATCCAAAACTACTCCGAGATATCGAAAATGCTTGACCTTTTCAATTGTTTTGCAAATGCATGAAATTAAATTACAATTTGAAGAATGATAAACTAGATTGTTTGGAAAGTTAATACTATTTATTAGACCGAAATTTATGTATTTTGTCTTATCAACATTAACCTGCATTTTATTTGCTTTACACCAATCACTCAAAAGCTGAAGATCTTCTTGGATGTAACCGTAAAGAGTGAAAATATCTTTTTGGGAATAAAAAAACGCAATGTCGTCAGCAAAAGCACATACGTGTCCATGGAACGGAAGCTTGAGAAGGTCATTAATAAATATGAGGAAGAGGGTTGCAGAGGTAACTGATCCCTGTGGAACACCTGTCCTGACATGTAGAGGAGAACTTAGTTGGTCTAAGATCTTTGTTTGCTGTATTCTGTTTGAGAGAAAACTAGAAAACCAATTATTAGCTACACCTCTAACACCAGCAGCATCTAATTTAGATAATAAAAGATTATGGTCAACTAGATCAAATGCTTTTTTAAAATCAACAAATAAACCTGTTGCTTTGTTTTTGCTATTTAAACTTTGATAAATTTTATCTGTGACTGTAATTAGGACATCTTCTGTCGACTTTCCTTTCCTAAAACCAAATTGAGAGTTGCTGAAAAAATTTAAACCATCCAAAAATGTTGTAAGTCTGACTTTCATTAATTTCTCAAAAACTTTAGAAAAAACTGAGAGCAAACTAATAGGTCTGAGATTGTCTAATTTTTTTGACGAGCCTTTTTTATGAATGGGCACTATGATGCTTTGTTTTAGTTTTTCTGGAAATGTACCACATGCAAAACTAAGATTAATCATGTGGACTAAAACAGGTGCTAGGATTTTAGAGACAGTTTTTAAAAGTTGAACAGATATTTGATCAAAACCTGTTGATTTTTTATTTTTCAACCCATTTATGGTAGCCAAAACTTCGGGAATGGTAGTTGGAGCAACAAAGAAGGAGTGAGGACAACAATGCAAGGGTCGTGGCTGGGGAGGGGGAGGCCCGTTGCAGCTTTGACCTTGACATTGGACAGAGATAAAATACTTGTTAATCTCTTCGGCAACTTGTTTGTGATCATTTAAAATTGTTTTGTTTTCCAATTCAACTTCAGTTACATTTTTCTTATCAGCTGTACCTAACACATTATTTAAAACCTTCCAATATTGAGAAGAATCCCCATGACAATTATTAATTTTGTTAGCTAAAAATTGGTTTTTAGCAAAATCAATATCTTCTCTTAATTTGACACAGAACTCGTTAAAATACTTGCCAAAATGTAAATCAAAAGGCCTTTTCCTATACAACAAGTACAACTTCTTTCTTTTCGATATCCTATTGTATAAATTAGTATTTATCCATGGACTTAACGATTTAGATTTTTGAAATTTATTGTACTTAAAAGCTAACTTAGATTTGTTTATCACAGTACATAGTTTTTCATAAAATATATTATAACAATAATTAACATCATTTGAAAGCAAAATATCTTCCCATTTTTCATTTTCTAACTTTTCTTTGAATAAAATAAAATCAATTTTATCTTTTTGTTTGAGTAAGCTAGAATCATCTATTATTTTACCTTTACACATTAAATCAAAAGTCAACCCCAATAAACAATGATCTGTTAGACCAATATCAAAAATAACACTTTTAAAAATAGTTATGTTTGGATGTCTTACAAAAATATGGTCTACGAGTGTTTTCGACAGATTAGTTATGCGCGTAGGGCTCTTTATCATAGATATAAAACCATGATTTTGTAAGAGACTAAAATAGTTTTGCACATATGGCTGACAAGTATTTAATAGGTTTATATTTCCATCCCCGACCAAAATAGTATTACCCTTTACATTATTAATAGTATCGGAAAATTCATTGACAAAATCATTTTCTGAGTGCATATGCAACCTATAAAAACAGAACACATTGAAATAAACATTTTTATATCTAACACGCAGAAGCAAAACATCAGCAGTGGTCATTTTAAAGCTTAGTTGTGTAGTATCAATACTCTCATTTACATTATCAAAACTCAAGAACAATTTTATAGGCTACACAAAGAATTTCTGGTTCCTGATCTGGATGATGCCTTTTATTTAATTTCATTTACGGTTACACTATGATATTGCACTTAATTAATTCCGTTATGTAAGAAAAACGTTTTTAATCTCACTTGTAACGTTGACAACAAAATCGTAAAGGTCTTCCGGGGTCGCAGCAACACCCGCGATCACACACTGCTGTACTGTAGTAATTATTTACTTGATAGAACAGCGATCAAAACACCGTTAAATCTCGATTGTAGGCTATTAGTGGCGATTATTTATAAATTTAAGTTTCCCAGTCTAAACACTGATTTGCTGTATTTTCCCTGGTTATCAAAACTTAAGTTGAATTTTATAGACATAGAATCTGCAGGTTCTTGACCTGGATGTGGATGATTATTTTAATTTACAGTTAACATTATAGTACTTGCGATCGATTAAATCCGCTATGCAAGTCAAAAGGTCAATTAACGTACTTGGTTCCACAATGAATGGTTTTCGATTTGCGTAAAAAATGTGATTGGAAATGTTGCAGTATTTGTAAACAAAATGTAATGTAAACAATTAAACATATCAGTGACAGCTAGAAGTGAGAATTGATCCAAACAATGAAGAACACTGAGAACCAACTCTTCAGGCGGTGGCAGTGACGGGACGCCGACGGCATCGTTAGTTGGGTAGTGTACTTTGTGTAGGTTAACTGTTGCTTGCTGGGCAGGTATAATGCAGTCGTGTTGGGTGCTAGTTCTTAAACACTTCTTAGATAAAATAAGTTCTCTGGTTCAAAATCATGGTCTGATTTTGGACAATTTCTGTTTAGCATGCACATTGGCACCAGGGTGTTTTTGTAAATCAAACATGCTTGAATGTGCTGTAATGTTGCGGTATTCCTTTGATATTAAAACCACAAGTCTCAATAATAAAAAAAAAACATGACATTATACGAGTAGTTTATTTTTTAACCTTTAACATTTCTTGACCTTTAAAAAATTAACTGGGAAGCTTGAACACATTAAACTAGGTCCTTAAAATAGCTTAAAAATTACTAATTTTAGCACGTTATTTCCAAAATTTTCCCTGGACCCCCCTTCTTTGCTGGGGGGTATTCCATACCCCCCAGGCCCCCCGGTGACCCCCCATCCAAAATATATGTCTAGGACCACCCTTGGTGAGTAATTTTGTCATCTTTTTTGATGGAGGGTCCCTGGGAACCCTACATTAGCTGTATAGGCTATTAATTAACAGCTGTGTCAAAGGAATATGTCGGCCTTAGTCACTAAAAAGACTACAAGATCGCGCCACTCATCGTACTCATCCATTCGAATACTTGGCTTAAAATACCTACTTTGTATGGTCGCCATTTCAAAGAAAAGTATAAAGTATAAGTACAGTAAGTTAGTGTAGCCTAGGCCTAGTGTATATTTTTTAGACAAGGCCTAAATACATTTCTATGCAACATACACAATTACGTTTTCCTTAAGGTATGCTAGGCTATCATCTACTTACGGTAGCGAGGCCCAGCTGAATTAAAGTTCATATCCTTGATTTTGATAGGTTTTTAAAATAAGGATTACTGTATTCTGACCAGCAAATCTCCAGTCTGAGAGACCTAAAACCTGACCTAACCTAAACGTTATAAAACGAATCGACTGGAGTGGGAGTGGGAGTGGGACTGAGAGACTCGACGTTCTGTACCCACGAGCACCTCAGCTTCCACTTCCACATGCAGTCATGCACAGAAGGATTTGGAACAGTTCCTAGCATAACAGCTATTTGTGTAATAGCTTCACTGTATATCTCTTTATTGTACCTGGGGCCCTATTTTTGAAATGGTCGACTGTTGAGTTGAGTGTCGAGTCATTCTATTTCCAATCGTTTCGTATTTTTGAAACGATTGACGGTGGACTTACACAACCAAAACTACTCAACACCTATCGAGCTGTTGAGTGTGTACGATACGTCGTCATCGTACTGTACGTTTTGGGGTCAGGGATGGGGCGTTGTAATAAATACACTTGTTACATTTTAAAAGGGCTCAGAGGGCCGCAAAGGGTATACGGTGTTGACGGGACTAATACATGGTGTGGACTGACGTGAGGAGAGGGGATTTAGGCTTGTTCGGAAAGGTGGTGTGATGGTGGCGTGATATGACGTCACGGGAAATAGCCATGAGCTGTTTTATTAGAAATATCGCCTGATTTTGCATATTGCCAACCTAAACAGAAATTGTGGTTACATGATGGTATGAGTGTCAAACTATTGTAACATTATGGTACAAATTATCAGAATATGGTACAATCCTCCCCTCTTAAGTTTTGTGATGCTATCGGTTACTAGAATCTTGAAAACTTACAATCACAAATAACAATACCAGAATATCTTATTAATTTATTATTATTTTTGTTTGCCAATCATTTAAATGAGAATGAGAATCAATCAATCATCAGTTCTAAATATATATATGTATATATGGTCAAAATATTGAGATAATATCACACATTAAAAACACAAGTAAATGAAACACACACTTGAAATCATAAACCTTAATAACATTAAACATTGAACCTTGATGATATTTAATAATGATAACACACACAATGGTACACACAATTCAATTAATAAACATTTGAAAATCATTGATAAGGATATATAATAAATAAATCTATATACAAGTCATGTCCGGGTATTCAATTAAAGGTCTAATCTTATTACAGGTTTGCGCTCCCGTACAGGAAAGCGTCTAGTAGAGGTCGTGCGGAACGAGGTGAAGCCTGAGATTTTCGGCGGGAACGGTCTAAAGCGGGGAAATCCATGGTGGGGGTAGGAGACGAGCCGATCGTCGCCTCGCATAGCGACACTTCCCCCACCACACCACTATTCCCCTCCAAGCTTCACCTCGTTCCGTACGACCTCTAGGCGTCTGTCTGTTTACATTTGGCGATTTGTTTACATTTGGAGGCGAAGCCAATGACCCCGCTCTTTCAATGTTTTGGTTTGCGTCAGGTGACCTAGTCAATATCGGAGTTTTCTGCCCGACTGTGCCCGGAAGAGCTCGCATACCTTCGCTACTGTTCCCTGTCAGTGTGCAGTCTGGCGAATTTTGCAATGTTGGGTAACTGTGAGTGTGTAGAAAGGTACACCTAACATAACGTTATTCTTTGTTTTATGGACGTAATATTAGACTACGGACAGTTAAATAAGTGTAAAAAAGGCACTTATGCCGTTGACTGAAAGTTATTTCGAACAATTCGGACAGTTAGCGGAAACGTATTTTTCAACAAACATGGCAACAATTGGTAATATCGGTCCTTTTGACAGCGCCGAAGAAACTTGGCAATCGTATACAGAGCGATTTGAACTTTTTGTAGACTGCAACGGGATTAATGCCACAAAGAAAGCGAGCACACTACTAACGGTAATGGGAGTCAGAACGTATAAATTGTTAAAGGACTTAATCACACCGGATAAACCTTCGTCCAAGACGTACGAGGAAATTGTAGACACGGTCGGTAAACATTTACACCCGAAACCGTCGTTTATTACAGAACGTTTTAAATTCAGCCGCAGACATCAGTTAGAACACGAAACAGTGAGTGATTATATCGTACAACTTAAGCAGCTATCGCAACATTGTGAGTTTGGGGACAAGCTTCCAGACCATCTACGCGACAGACTGGTATCAGGCCTCAAGAACCACCACATCCAGAGACGACTGCTGGGGGAGGATAACCTGACCTACGACAAGGCAGTACAGCTGGCAACGTCAATGGAGTTCGCCGAGAAAGGAGCAGCCCAGATGACGCTTAATCCAGGAGGACGACTTCAGCGCCTCAGCCAGACGACAAGGACAGCACCAAGCGGAAGCGGGGGAAAATTCGCAGCCAACAGAGGTTCGGCAACGTCACAGCCCCGGGAGTGCAACTGCTGTGGAAAGAACAATCACAATACTCTGCAATGTCGGTATCGTGAGTACAATTGCAATTTCTGTAAGAAGAAAGGACATCTTGAAAAAGCTTGTAGATCTAAGAGTAGAATTGCAAATAGGCCCCATTTTAGTAAACAGTATAATGATGTATCTAAGACTAATGGACAGTCTAGGGGAGGAAATAAGTCGTATTTTAATTCAAAGTACAGTAATGCTAATGCTAGGCAACATTATGTAACAGAAAATGTCCCTGAACAAAGTGTAGACGAAGACACGGTATATGACATATCTAACTTATTTCAGGTACAGGGAGTAGAAGTTAGGAAAAAAGTAGAACCAATTAGAGTGCAATTAGAGGTAGAGAGCAAAAAGATCCTATTTGAAATTGATACCGGAGCTTGTGTGTCAGTTATATCTGAAAAAGATTACAAAGTAAAGTTAAGTCACGTAAAGTTACTACCAACAAGCTTAGTTCTTAGTTCGTACACACACGAAAAGATCGTACCTATCGGTAAACTATGTGTAAATGTAAAACATGAAGGTATTTGTAAACAATTAGAGCTGTATGTTGTCCCTAACGGTGCAAACCCATTGTTAGGTAGGGATTGGATGAAAGCACTGCAGCTAGTTGTTAGTATCAAAAATAGTAGTAAAGTAAACAATGTTCAATCAGCTGTGGATGACAGCTCAGTTGGTACACCTGTCAGCTGTTCTGCTAGCAGAATGGTCGACACTAGCGCGCCGACTGAGGTGGCCGACACCGCAGTTACCAATGTAAACAAACAAACAAATGTCACAGTACATCAGCAGGGCAAGCAGCTAGTTAAACAGTTGTATGAGGAATTCCCTGATGTTTTCACAGACAAGCTAGGTTGTTTCAAGGGAGAACCAGTCAAACTTAAACTAAAACCTAATGCAACCCCTAAATATCATAAGCCAAGGACCTTACCTTTCACACTTAAAAATAAAGTAGAAGCAGAACTAGCACGTTTAGAAGCTGAGAGTATTATTTCACCAGTAAATTCAAGCCAATGGGCTACCCCTGTAGTACCAGTTTTGAAAACAAATGGTCAGTTAAGATTGTGTGGAGACTATAAAGTAACGCTAAATCCTTTCTTAGAGATAGACAGACACCCTTTACCTAAGATTGAAGAATTGTTCTCCAGTTTGCAAAATGGAGACAGGTTTTCTAAAATAGATTTGTCACAAGCATATCAACAACTAAGACTAGATGATGAAAGTAAAAAGTTATGTACAATTAGTACCCATAAGGGCTTGTTTGAGTACAATAGATTATGTTATGGCATATCATCTGCTCCTGGTATTTTTCAGCGCACAATGGAGCAAACCTTACAAGGAATACCAGGTGTAGCGGTATTTCTAGATGACATTCTTGTAACAGGACAAAATGACTCTGAACATATTATTAGTAAATTAAAGTTAGTTTGTAAACGACTACAAGACAATGGTTTCACAGTCAGTAAAGTAAATGTAAATTTTTCTGTGAAAGTTTAGAGTATCTAGGGTTTGTCATAAGCAAACGAGGATTGGAAACTTCACAAGACAAGGTCAAAGCCATTGTAAACGCCCCAGAACCAAAAGATGTCACCCAATTAAAAGCATTTTTAGGCTTAGTTAACTACTACGCTCGTTTCATACCTAGAATCTCAACCATACTTACCCCTATGTATATGTTATTGAGGAAAGACACTGAATTTGTATGGAATTTAGCGTGTAAGAAAGCTTTTGAAGAAGTTAAGCAAAAACTAGTATCAGCCCAAGTACTAGCTCATTTTGACCCTAAGTTAAAGTTAACGTTAGCATGTGACGCTAGTGCCTATGGTATAGGTGCAGTTCTAAGTCAAATTCAAACAGATGGTACTGAAAGACCTATTGCATTTACAAGTAGAGTGTTAAATGATACTGAAAAGCAGTATTCACAGATTGACAAAGAAGCTCTTAGTATAGTGTATGGAGTAAAAAAATTCAACCAGTACTTGTATGGTAACCATTTTTTGTTAAAAACAGACCACAAACCGCTTGTAGCTATTTTTGGACCTAAACAAGGTTTACCTGCATTTGCAGCTAGTAAGTAGGCTCCAACGCTACACATTGTTTTTATCAGGTTATCAGTACGACATTTCTTATGTTAAATCCGAATGTAACGGAAATGCTGATGGTCTATCACGTTTACCAGTAAGTAATCCTGTGAACGATGAAATCAATGACAATGACTTAAATGTAAATATTGTAGGTACCTATTTACAGTGTTTAATTGAGAGTGAACTTCCTCTAAGTTATGTAGAAGTAAAATGAGAGTCAGCACTAGATCCTATAAGTAGAGTGATAGGTTATGTTAGATTTGGATGGCCAAATGACGTAAATGAGAGGGATCCTATGTTAAATCCATTTTTTGTGCGACAGTCACAATTAACTTTTGAACAAGGACTCCTAATGTGGGGTTACAGGATCGTCATCCCAAGCAAGTTTAGAACACATATTTTACAAGAATTACACAATGGCCCATCCTCGTCGCCAGTTGTACGATACGTCGTCATCGTACTGTACGTTTTGGGGTCAGGGATGGGGCGTTGTAATAAATACACTTGTTACATTTTAAAAGGGCTCAGAGGGCCGCAAAGGGTATACGGTGTTGACGGGACTAATACATGGTGTGGACTGACGTGAGGAGAGGGGATTTAGGCTTGTTCGGAAAGGTGGTGTGATGGTGGC